TCGGAAACGGATTTAAGAAAGTAAATATACCACGTTCATTTCCTTGTGGAGAGAAACACGCTCGTCTAGAGATCCGCAAAAAATTCTTAGTATAATCTATTCCAAATTTCATCCAAAGTTTTTGTGTTTAATGCCCCCATTTCCAACAAAAAATACCTGTTTTGATGGTGCTCGTAGATTAAGTTGAAGTTTTCTATCCATGACTTGCCATTGCTTAAAAAATCTCCTAGTATGTTAGAGTCATCAGTTTGTGTGTTGCTTTATAGTAGATACATTGTATGACTGGATAATTTCATCAACCAAAAGGTGGACTTCAGATATATATATATATATATATTTTGAATGTAATGGAATTCCAAGAAAGAAATTGATTTATATAATGATTTGTTCTTTTTTTAGAGAATTCCCATCCAGAATAATCTTGGCAGTGATTTTTAAATTTTATTATTTTATATAAATCTAAGGACACAATCAGTGGTCTTTCAGGAAGGAAAAAAAAAAAGCCTTGAATTCTCTGTGATTATATATTCCCACCATTCCTGAATTGTTGGCACTTTACAAATTCTGTCAAACTTGTCAATGCTTGAAGCTTTGGTAGGTACTAAGATTATGCAGGCATAGATTTTTTTTTTTAATTATTTTTTATTCACAAAACAACTCTTATTCTGAATTCAAGATCTATCCTTTGTATGAAGGCAACTATTATGTTAATGTTGCATGTTAAAGGCCTTGACAGCTTTGCTTTTGTTTTTTATTTGAAGATGTGACAAATGCTACCAGTCATTCCTCATTTTCTTGCATCTAAACATAGGTTATTTGTTCTACAGAAACTATTATAATTCATGTGAAAGTGACAACGGTTAGGGTGGTAGATCTGACACCACATGTTCTTTATATATGGTGAAGGTAAAAATTGTAGCACTAGTTTGTTCTGTTGCTTGTACATCTTGTTTGTATTTGCTTCACCTTTTCCTTTAATATTATCTCTGCAATTTCATGAATTATCGATTGGCTAGCCTTTAGTTCCAACTTATGGTGAAATTATTAAAAACAAGGCAGTAGTACGAACTAACGGGCAAGTGGCCTAGCGCTACCAAGTTCCTATTTTTTAAATGAACGTCAAGAGTTCGAGTTTCAATGTAGGCATAAGTGTATGAGTATTAATTAAAAAAAAAAAAAAAAAAAATCAATAGTACAAAAATATATGTTATTGGGCATCTTTTGTCCCTACGAGGATTTGCAGTGAGTTTTCTTCCTGGTCAGGTCGGCTTGTTTTTGCATAATATGTGAAGTTGTGGTCTAATTTTTGTTTCGGTTCGGGTTACGTTACATTTTGACTTTGACCCAATAAGAATTTTTTTTACCCGTTTTGTTTTGCGGATCGTGGACTCTTATACAGACTCTGTTGTAACCCAGTATATAAGGATGTTAAAGTTTATCTTGTGACTTGTGAGTAAGAAAATACTGAATGCTGCAATATAAAGAGGCAAATGGTTAGGAGCTTGAGAACTAGTAACATTTGTTCTCTTCCCATACTGAAATATCATCATTGATTTTCTTCATAAACATAAGCAGTTGTATGTAGTGGCCGATTCATAAATTTATTTTAGAGGGGGCGATTTTAAACAATAATGAGGGTGTGGGTGAATAAAAAAAGTGGGGGGGGGGGGGGGGGGGGGGGGGAATGAAAAAGTAATGGGAGCATTTACATAATTACTCAAGATTTTTGGTAAAAATAGGTATTTTTTAAAATTTAGTGGGGACAAAGGATGAAGTTATCAGAGTATTTGCTTAAGAGTGGTGATACAAAAACCGAACAATAACGCCCGAATCTGATTTAACAGCCACGTCATCTTCATAATTCCTAAACACCGCTAGAAGACATGAAAAAGTCAAACTCTCTCTTTTGATTTTCTCTCCCCAAATTCCTATCTCTAGTCTCTTCATCTTCCGTTGATAGATTCTTCTCTTTCTTAGATCCTAACAGTCTCTTTCTTTCTTTGATTTTACAAAATTGAATCAATTCAAAAATCATGGTATTACAGTAGTAGCTCCCGGTATTTATGCAGTTTATCTGATAAAGTTTGTGCTTCTTTTAAGAGATCAGAATTAGCAATGGAAATCTTCACATTTTTTCAGAAAAAATTCAGATTAAGGCTTATTTAGATTCAAATAGAAGATTAGGACTGTATATGCAACATACGGTGATCGAAGAGAGGAAAAATGCTTATTGCCCTGTATCCCTTCGATTTTGTGAAATCTAAAAGAGAAACATATACACCAGAACCGTAGACAGAAAATTGAGGAAGAATCCATGAACATCTATAATCTGCTTTCAGTATATATGTAAATTTGTATGTGTGTGTGTGTGTGTGTGTGTGTGTATATATATATATATATATATATATATATATATATTTTTTTTTTTATCTCTATGCATACCCACTTCTTCAGCATATCTTCACACAGTCCGTAGCTCCATGACCTCCATCAATTTCCCTTATCATTAATTTTTTTTTTTTTTAGGTTTTGATGGAGGTCATGGAGCTACGGATTGTGTGAAGATATGCTGAAGAAGTGGGTATGCATAGAGATAAATATATATATATATATATACACACTTACATACAAATTTACATATATACTGAAAGCAGATCATAGATGTTCATGGATTCTTCCTATTTTCTGTCTACGGTTCTGGTGTATATGTTTCTCTTTTAGATTTCACAAAATCGAAGGGATACAGAGCAATAAGCATTTTTCCTCTCTTCGATCACCGTATTTTGCATATATAGTCCTAATCTTCTATTTGAATCTAAATAAACCTTAATCTGAAATTTTTTCTGAAAAAATGTGGAGATTTCCATTACTAATTCTGATTTAGAGATGGAAGTGATCTCTTAAAAGAAGCACGAACTTTATCAGATAAATTGCATAAATACCGGGAGCTACTACTGTAACACCTTGATTTTTGAATTGATTCAATTTTGTAAAATCAAAGAAAGAAAGAGACTGCTAGGATCTAAGAAAGAGAAGAATCTATCAACCGAAGATGAAAAGACTAGAGAGAGGAATTTGGGGAGAGAAAATCAAAAGAGAGAGTTTGACTTTTTCATGTCTTCTAGCGGTGTTTAGGAATTATGAAGATGACGTGGCTGTTAAATTAGATTCAGCACCTATTCAGACGTTATTGTTCGGTTTTTGTATCACCACTCTTTATTTATTTATCATTTTCTTGTAACATAATTACCATTGTATAGGCCTATAAATCTTTGTGTATTATGTTATGCATTATTTATTTATTTATTTATCATTTTCTTGTAACATAATTACCATTGTATTCGCCTTAAATTATTTTTTTTCCTCTTAGACAACCTAACTCTCTATGCAATCCAGTACAGGGCCTATTGAGCATTGAGCTAGAGGTCCATCCTTTATATGAATACCCAAAAAGTAGAAAGCTTGGATCATTGAAATATCATCATAATTGGGTTGACTAATGAATGTTTAAACAAGTTGAAATTATTTTATTTTATTTTATTTTTAACCATAAAATGTGGGAATGGCCCATGGATTGAGTAAACTATGGAAAAGGCACCTTGGTTGTTGCCACATGGTACAAAGACAGCAATAAACCTTTTTCAGTGTACTAATTTTGAAGGGCTTCATTTGATGCACATGCAATGCAAGACCACCACCTAGTCTAGTCATTCAATGAACAACATTGAAGAATGAAGCAGGGTACCCCTCCTTGAAGGTAAGAGGTATGGTTAGAAGAGCTATTGTTTGTAAAGATATGTGTGGTTGGGTACAAATTGTGTCTCTGTTTACGGTGATGATACGATCAAAAAAAAAAATTACTATGCAAAAATAAAAAAATTACTAGGGACGATAACGAGTGGAGTTGGTTAAACCTATTCTGCTCCGTTAAAAAATTTATCATACCAACTCCGCTCCAACTTCGAGAATGGTTTATAATTGGTATATCATCCCCGCCTCCATTTTGGTAGACAAAATACTGATTTCGTCCAGCATACTTCGTTTAATTGTGGTACAGTTAAAACTGTTGAATTAATTCATAGACTTGGGATAGAATACTAAGATTTTGAATCCTTCATTGATTCTTGAAGATTGTATCACGTGCACAATTGTGAAAATTTAGTAAGTAGTGATTTTAGCAAATATATAGTCAAAATATATTAATAGACACTTAACTTAAATATATATATACATATATATATATATAATCGGGGGCGGAGCGGGGTGGGGGCATCACTAAATCCACCCCCGCCCCAAACCTGTTTCGGTTTTTCAATTCTTTTATTATATCCGTCCCAAACCCATTTATGAAACTACCAAATCCGCTCCATTAGGAGCGGAGCGGGACAGAAACCCAACAAATTAGAGGAAATTGCCATCGCTAGAAATTACGAGATTTAGTGATTGTTGTTTTTCTCTAATCTCGCTTTAAAATTTAAGACTACAAACAAATACTATCTCTGTCCAAACCGATAAAGTATTAAATAGGATCCACTTCCTACCAGCGAAAAATGAGTGAAATTTTTTTTTTCCCTTATCGTGAGATCATATTCGAATTGCGTTAAATTCGAATCACAACGTTACAAATTTTATGAAAAATAACTGAATAATGATACATAATCAAGTACCCAATATTTTTCCCACCTCTACCATTGAAAATGAGCAATATAAATTCCAAATTCCTGTGGCCTCTGTGATATTTGATTGTATCCCTCATCTGAATCATCAGATCCGTTGAATATCTGTGTGCTAGAAGAATCACAGCCATTTAATGAGTATACTTTTTAAATTCCACCTCCCCATTTGACTGAAGTCTTAAGAAGGCATGGTCTGAGGTTGTTAACTTGTACTCTCTTACGATTCAACTTAATTTCAGTACAAACGCAACATGCTACTGCATTAATAAAAACCAGTTGTATGATAAGTTATTACACTACCGGAAGCACGCATGGTTTTCCCCAAACAGATCAAGTCAACAAAACTAAATGCAGTCCTCCCTCACTCCCTTGTCCACCGCCCACGGCGCATGTTAGTACCAGTGTGAACTAGATCTCTCTCTCTCACACACACGAAAGTCCCCATCCAATGAATTATGAACCCCACAATACCACTCTTCCAAAAAACACATCCCCTGAAAAGGGTTAAAGCCCACCCAACAGACCCTCCACCGTTTGCTCCTGACTTATCTTCATCACCACCAACAAACATGGCACACCACACCACCAACAGGCGCAACTTAGCAGCTCCAGAGCCCAAGACATCCATGGATCCCACACACAAAAGGCACCACCATCCCAAATCAACCCCCTTCACCACCACCACCACCACCACTACCTCCATCACCAAGCCCCACCCAGATCCCACTACTGCCTCTTCCATTCACAACATATCCAATCATTTCTCAAAGTTGTATAGAAATCACAAAGTCCTCTCATCATTAAAGGAACCCACAAAGTTCACAAACCGACCTTCACAGCCTCCTCCTCCTCCTATTGACACCCATTTGCAGGCAAAGGCAATGACTTTATCTGCCATTGAAGACTCTTCAAGCACATCTTTCATCAAATCAAACCCCCAATACAGAAAAAACATGATGGAATTGAAAGAGAGCATGAGGGTCAGACCAAAAGTGGCTAATAAAGAAGGCAAGAAGTCCTCCAAAGAATCTCATGAAGGGCATGATGTGAAGAAGATAGCATTTGTGAGTGGGAAAACAGATGAGGTCAAGAAAATACCCAAGAAAGGGAGTGAAAAGAAGGAATCTGATGAAGGGCATGATCTGAAAAAATCAGATTCAGATGTTTCTCTAGCAATTAGTGGTGGCAAAAGGAGGTCTTTTTGTAGCTCACTGACTGAGCTGGCTGATTTCTTCTCTTGCACTGGTGTGAAAGTGGTGTCTGTGGACATGCCACCATTTATGCAGGTCCATGCTGTGGATTGTGCAAGAAAGACTCTTGATAGTATGGAGAAGTTCACTCACAAAACGCTTGCCCTAACCCTCAAAAAGGTAATTAATTTGAGGGTTTTTGGGTGATTTGTGATGTGGGTTTTTGATTAATTGATTAATGGACTGATGGGTTTGTGTCCTTTTTTTTGCAGGAATTTGATGGGGTATATGGACCAGCTTGGCATTGTATTGTGGGCACCAGTTTTGGGTCATTTGTGACACATTCAGTTGGTGGGTTCTTGTATTTCTCAATGGATCACAAGATCTACGTCCTCTTGTTTAAGACTACAGTACAAAGAGCAGATTGAAGTAGAGAGAATTGAGAGGTGGTGACTGTAATTTTATTAGTATACAGTAAATTCCAAGCTTCCCTTGCAGCTTGTACATTTTTGCTTAGGAAAGCATTAAACATGTCATAGTTTCCATTGTTCTGATCAATTCTGTCAGTAGACCTTTAAGACTTGACACTGCAATTCCTTGGATTATGGAAATATAGAATCCATTTTTTTACTTAAAATCTCATGCTTCATGTTATTGTGTTATGTTACATGTCAATTATTTTATATTTCTTTTACTCCTTGGATAACAATTTCAATTTGAAACTATAGTTTTAATATATATAATAAGTATCTCTTGGTTGGCCTATTATGGATGGTCATTAGTTGTGCTCTTAATTATGTGAAGGCAAGCTTAAACATGTTCAAATTTCAGTGGTTGCCAAGTTTGAACCTGCCATTATGTAGAGGGTATGGATTTAAGAAAGTAGGTCCCTCATGTACTTAAATTTGAACATATCCATATGAAGTCCTTAGTTTTGGTATCTTGAAAGCTGCATATTAGTTATATTTGGGAAGTTCATCCACTTTCAAAAGAGGGCAACTCTCTTAATGACCTTTTTATGGTGCAATTAGTTTATCAAATGATACCTAAGAGCTCTTGCCACAACATATTTCTTCCTCATATTTGCTTATTTGTAAAGTTGTGAGATCCTTGTTGCCCATCATTTGAACAATAGAATTGACTATTACTGGTGGGCATTAGTTCAGTATTATCTCTACACTCCAAGTCGAGAGTTTTGAGTCCGGATAGGGGGCAATATTGTAAGTGTGCGTATGATTGCTTCAACTTTCTGAAAAAGAAAAATGACCATCATGTTTTCAGTTGCTTTTGCATACCAGCACCCAAAATCAAGTGACCATTAATATTGATAGGTGAATCATTGAAGCATTGTTGGAGGACTCAACAGTCTGATCCTTTCCAACCTTTGACAGTTTTCTTCCAGTACCCAATAATTTAGTTTGTTCAAGCCTGGACAGATGGGGCCTTGTATGTCATTCAATCAAAGAAGTGGAACTATTTGGGTCTGCCCGTAGCCTGTACTGTAGTGTACTGGTGGGAAACCTCATGGTCATGGGACCAAGGCTCAAGTGCCAAAAAAAAAAAAAAAAAAACACACCTCAAGCCACGTCTTTAAATTGTTTATGCAACCACTAACTGGATGGATGCCTTCTTCAAATAAGCTGAACTTGGAATACAATCCGGATAAAAAACGCACACGCACACGCACACGCACACGCACACGGTCCTTAAAGATAGTAAGCTCAACTATTTCCTTTTATTTCAGTTTTCTGAAAATTGTTGCATGAACTTTGTTTTGTTGACAATTTTAAAAAAAAATATCAGTTTAGTGTCTGTTTTAGATAATTGCCTTTTGTAATTCTCTAATGCTAGTCGGTTGTATGGAATTGATATCTTGCAATTGAAATTGGAAGGGAAAAAAAAAAATTAATTCAAAGTTAAAATTGTTTTCCTCCAATTTCATACAGTAAAATTAATTTTTTATTTTTTGAATTCTAGAATTTTTAAAAACCTAAATCAGACGGGCTTAGGGTATTCTATAGCATTACTCTGATTATTGAGGCCAGTTTGGTAGGACAGAAGCTTTTAAAACTAATAGCAAATTAGACCACATGATCAATAAAGTCAATTTCACATGATACAACTCCCAAATTCACAATCAACACATACCACTCCCAAATTCACAAGCAACACACCCACCTCCGTAAAGCATACAACTTTCAAATTCCCAAGCAACTCCCAAATTCACAATCAACACATACCACTCCCAAATCACAAAGCAACAAATACAACTCCTATAGAGCATACAACTTTCAAATTCACAAGCAACCCATAAAAAAAAGGTTGAATGTGATATTTGTTGTAACCAGTTCACATAAATGATAATATATCCGATATAAAGAGGAGATAATCATATAAATATAGATATATGATAAATAATAATATGTCAAAATAACATAATAATAAAATTAATTATAATTTCAAATCAAGGTTTAGAGGCGTGTAATCGCTTCTTGAAGATAGTTAAAGTGTGTAATTGAAATATCTATTAGCAGCACTATCTTCGGGATTCAACTAAACTAGATTTAACAATCTGTATGTCCATAGAGTGGCACCTTCTATGAACTTATGTATTCATTTTCGTCCAATCAATCGTTCAATACAATATAATTTAAAGAAATTATATTTAAAAACATATATCAATATATATATATATATATATATATATATATATTTATATTTATAAAAAAATTCTATCATTTAGATAACACATATATATATACACATATGGCAATAAAGTACAATTACAAAAGAAGGTCAACTTCACACATTTCCAACTTTAAAAGAAAAGGAAGGAAAACACTAGGGACATACCTCTTAGAGTAGTTTTTACAGTTGCTCTTTATTACATTTGGACACATGTGAAATTTCTAGAATTCCATAATTTCTTATTTAAAAGTTGGTCAGAATTTCAATTCTGATTGCCGGAATAGTCACCGGAATCCGTACGAAAAGGTTAGAACATTCACCGAAAACTTCATCAAAACCTCACCGAAATATGCCAGAGTCTCGCCGGTACCTTACCGGAATCTGGGTTCTTCGGCTGAAAACTTCATCGGACCTTTGTCAAAATCCGGGTTTGTCGCCAGAATCTTCATCGATATTTCACCAGATTTCTCACCTTCTCATTGGAATTCTCTCACTTGGACTTGTTCTCAAGTCTGGCACATCTCATATAGGGGAGTCAAGCCTTTTTATAATGCTTCAATTAAAGTGTGCTATACATGTTGCATTAATCAATAAGCCCATTACTTTCCTATGTTCGACGACCAAGATTGCCTGATCTTTCACTATCCCATGTTGGACGGTCCAGATCGCTTAATCGTGTAACCTATTGAGCAACCCACTAGTCACACGAGATCTAACGATTGATCGTGTAACCGATCAAGGGAGATAATCAGTCACGATTGAGAGTGAAAATTCTAGCTTTCTCGCGTGCGTGCGTGACTCGAACCCGAGACCTTTTGTGTAAAATGGAAACTCTTAATCCCTATCTACCAACTAGACAACTTGTTAGTCGTGTTATAAAATAGGGAATAAATATATATATATATATATTTAGGTATATATATATAAAGGATATTTTGAAAACCTTTATAAAAATAACTTTGTATTTTAAAACACGTTCCAACAATCCCTAACTTATTTTAAAATTTAGAATATAATCTTTGGACGGTCGGTACAGTTGTATGCATCAATAATGGTGTTTGTTGGTCCTAACTTTGAATTAGGGTTTACCCTTTTAAATGTCAAAAAGATTGTCACAGGTTTACTACATTGAGTTTTAAGTGATTCTGGCATGCACAGTACATTATATTGATCTTCAAGGGTAGCTTAGTCATTCCAAATGGTTGAGAAGATTATTCAATTCGCCTAAGTAAGATAAATTGTGTTAAAAGTTCACTCTACAGGCAAATTAGGGTTACAGGTCCTTGTATAAAAGTTGATATTTGGGTACAGAGTCTTTTAGGGGCAATTAATTCCTTTCACACATGTATTATATAATAATACACTTGTTTATGATAGTGCATGGTATTGAATTGCTCTTATTCACAAATTGATCAAGTGTTCACAGTCACAACTGCAGAAAATAGTGTATATTGACAAGTGTCTTTTCAAAGGCATTTTGGTCAATGTAAATTGCTGAGCATTCTTATGAGACGTGTCTTATGGTCCTAGTGTGAGAAGATGCAGGTTGTTATTCATTGCTTAGTGATTAAGCTTGATATATATTATTATATATATACATACACAAGCTGTGTGACAATAACGCTGCGATGTTTCAAGCTCACAGCAAGTGTTACAATGGAAAGTCCAGACATATACAATTAAAGCACAATCATATGGAGAAATTATAGTTAATGGATTATCCAGTTTTCTGTAAAGGCTAAATCTCATCTGGCAGATCCACTGTCGAAATACATGTGAAGGGACTTAATATCCAAGGCCAAATCCTGTTTAGCAAATCCACTGTTGAAATACATATGAAAGGATATAGCGTCCAAGGCCAAATCTCACTTTACATATCCATTGTCGAAAAACATGTGAAGGGACCTTGTGTTCGAGATATCTAAAAGGATTGGATTAAAGCATGTTATCTATGATGTTGTGATGTTATGAAAACCCAACCCAGCGATATCTCTCCTTTGTTTAATGGGAAAAAAGTAACAGAGCAATTTGTGTAAGCACATCAATGTTTATTTCCTTGTGATATGATGTGGGTGCTCAAACTTGTAACTGAGGAGGTTAAGATTTACATCTCTTAATGAATATATAGATCGATTTTCGATTGGAGTGTATCGGATCACTCTTAATAGATTTATCGCCTAATCTATGAAGAGGTTAACACTTCATTCTCTTAATGAATTCTATAGATCAGTTTTCCTATTGGGGTGTACACAATCACTCTTGATAGATTCACTGATTAATCTTGCAATGAGGAGGATAAGATTAAGTTCTCTTAATGAGTCTATAATCCGTATTCGGTTGGAGTGTGCAAGATCACTCTTGATGGGCACACCGATCTAAGTGTGGAAGTAGGGTCACTTCCATAAGATTTGGACAGGCTTGATTCTTAATGATACTTAAAGTATGGATTCAGGATACATAACCACACGTGTCAAAGCTTTAGTATTTTTTTTTTTTAATCTCCAATCAAAAGTGTGTGAGAGTTATTTATAGTTTGTCAAATGTGGTTCTTGGTTTAGGACTTTGCTCACCATGTTCCTAAACAATCCAAGAAATCTCTTCACTAGATAATGGTTCAAGTCCAAAATACACTAATGAACCAAGAGAGGGGGGGGGGGGGGGGTGGGTTAATTGGTTCTTTTGTAAACTTTTTCTTCTTTCTTGATTCAATATAATGGATACAATGTGACAAGGATAATGATAGCTTGAAGAAGCTTACACACACTTATAAGTACACAGTGCATTTATAAGGAAAACCCTCTTACTAGGGAAAAACCTTGGTTCTTGGCCTCAGCCAATAAAGTCTCCACTAGTTATATACAAAAAGTTACACACTCAACTGTCTCTCACTCTCTGCACACACCCTTGTACAGGATGAAACACTAGTTTTCACTGCCTCTACACACACAC